CAACAAACGCATAACCTGCCATTGTAGTGTCATCATCAGGTGTAAACGCAGAACCATCACAGTAGAGGACAAACCATTGTTCTCCAGTGAAGTCTGTTGCATCTTTACTCTTACTCTGAATGTTTAATTGGTGACATTCAAGCAATTTAAAGACGGAACTTCAGCCACCTCTTTATTACCATGCAGTAATGACTTCAAGTGTATCACGAGATGAATATGAGTGGCTGTTGAAATGGGAAGTTTTGGTGTTTCAGCTAACATGCGTTTGTAGGTTAATCTCCTCGGACTGATATGTGCTGTGTGATTATGTTGAGGTGATCAACATTCACTGTTTGTGTAGCGTGCTGTATTAGTGGATATCTTAACACTATAGTCTGTGCCTATTCAGATGTAATCACCACAGCTATCATTGCTCACAAACTTGAGACTATCATCTGAACAAGTATCGTTGGGGATTTGGAATGTTATACAACAGGTCTTAATCCTTAATCAAGCACCCTTGTCAGAACAGCAGTGGGGACTCCTGTCGTCTGCCATACGAAGGTGAAACCTTGATGTTGGAGCAGTGCAGAGAAAATACTCGATACAACGAAAGATGTGTTTCATGCCATCAGTCCAGTTCATAACGTCCAGTGCATCCTGGGGTGTTGACTCTTGGAACATAGGATCATGGACGGCATAATCACCAGCCATGTATAACTATAGTTCACCAGACTCAAAAGGGATACCAGTTCAGGTTTTTTTTGTTTGTTTGTTTTTTGTTTTTTTACATGGTCCTTCAATGTCCTTAATGGTTGTCACACAATCGGGAGATAGATATCTGCACCCAGCTCACAAGATGTATCCAAGTTAGTTGACAGCTTCTCAACAGAATTGAAGCTTAGCAATGAATGTCCTGTAACCTACCTCGGCCAAATGTATCCGTAGGGCCAAGGAGTCCTGTATGCAGTCTTTTTCAGTCACTGAGTAAAGAAGCAGGTCATCTGAATACTGGAGGATACAGGATTGACATGGTAAAGTTGGATGAGACAAGTGCAAATCGACAGCTGCTGAATAACCTGTGGCGGAATCAACAAATCCCATAGGTAGTACTTTTCAGACATATTGTTAATTCTTGTACATAAACGTAGAGAAATGTTGCGTCTCTTTTTGTACAGTGATAGAGAAATATGCAGAGCATAAATTTATTTGGTATAGAAGCTAGAATTAGAGGGCTGTGAGGTTAAAACTGAGTCAATATCAGACACTATCAGAGCAATGGATTACACTGCTTTATTGAGGGACTATTTTCCTCTGTAGAAATTTGATGTTTGTCCTCACTCTTCAAAATCTCAATGTTGTTGGTTCAGATGCATTAGACTGGATAATGTCTTAACACTGACCATCAGTAACTGCTGCATGATAGAGATGTTATCCCGATCAAGGGCTTGTTGGAGTGACTAGAGATATTAATAGATTAAACATAAAGACTACTCAAATGGACAATTCAAATTGTTCAGGATTTTGTTCCTCCTCCTGAATACCCTGAGTTCTTTGATTGGCACCATACCCCATCCTCGAAGAATCATTCTGCAAAAAGAGATCAGAAGTTATTTGAGGCATAAAGTGAAGTTGTTCTTGGTTCACATTACTTTTTTGAGGACTCTTGCTCCTTCCTACAGGAGGCTGTCCTACTAAGGGTCCAATTACATGACAGCGAAGGCATCTGTCAGTCATGACCTACTCTGAGTATGGTCACTAGGGTTTGATCTGTGTCAGACATACACTCTCTGTTAAGTCAAAAGTTATATTACAATTCTGGATACATTGATGAATACATTTATCTTAAAGGATGTTTGTTGAAAGATTTGGCACTCCCAACATCTGAGTATAACAAGGGGACTACTTTTGTTGGCATTGGGCAGGGCTGTTCATCGTAATTTAACATGTGTAACTAGAAGCACTTGGAGAGCGCAGACCTCCGCCAAGCAGCTCATGTCCCCCCTTATATTGTGATTCACACCAAAACTTTTACTGTTACGTGTCTTTTATCAACATTTATTTGTGTTTAAACTGGTATGTTCACTGTTCATAATGTTCCTAAAACAAAAAAATGCCCTGACCCGGATTCGAACCCAGGACCTTCTTGCTGTGAGGTGAGAGTGCTAACCACTACACCACTGTGCCGCCCATCTACACCACTTTGCCGCCCATTGCTTATCTTTCAGCATTGACAATTCCAACGACACCCTTATTTTTGTGTGTTCTGGATCACAGTATCCGGAATTTTGTCTGGATCAGGATCAACCTTTGACACCTCATAAAACTCATTGAGATCCTTTTGTGTCATTTTTTACTAAAGACTCTGGACATTTGTATAGAGTTGAATGCAAAAATTCCAAAATTTGCCCTATCTCACAGTGATAAAGAATATTTTAAAAAATTCCTGGATCCAGAAGGTGATCCGGATCCCCACCAAAATGTAATGGGATCCTTCTGGGGCTGAGACGCACCTCTGGTGAAAATTTCAGGTCAAACCATCTGTTACTCTCTCGGTAAAGTTGGTCACAGACAAACAACAAACAAACAAACAAACGCTACCGAAAACATAACCCCCTTGGCGGAGGTAATTACGTGTTCAAAATGCACATATGATAATATTGTGTCAATGATCCAGGGCCACTTAAATACAGTGAAGTTTTCTATATTTGCCACTGTTTCTTTACATCCACTTGCTTCCCTCCTGGAGCACTGCAACAACCCCTCCCCCTTCTTCCACATACACAAGCACCAACCCCCACAATGAAACAGCAACAGGAGCGAGTGTTGTGTCAAGAAACGCATTCCTACTCACAATTGCATCCACCTTGTGGAAACGCGCACTGCTTTTAGTAGAGAGGTCCATGGAAATGTACAGTTTTAAACCCATACAATTCTTATTTGTGGGGCTAAACAGGGGTGAGTAATGATCCAAAAGTAAAGTATATACAGTATATTTTTGTATCATTTATGTTGAATAGACCTTGAGATTAAATGTTTTATCAGCCCAAATGTTTCACTGGTGTGACCTTATTTCAATGCGTAAAATGCAAACCTATGATGATCTGTAAAATTTAACTGTGTTTCTAAGGTGTCCTGTCGCAATCGAGCCCACTGTATCATTTCACATATATCATCACTGAGAGGTAAATAAGCAACTTAAATCAAAGAGTTTCTTTGTAAAGGTATGGTCAGCAGATGCTCGATATCAGCTGTTTATTGTCTGCCGAAATATGCAGTCATTAAAGGTGGGGTAGGCAGGATCTGAGGAAGTGCCAGTTTTGGGGAGGAATCTTAAATGTAAACACTACCCCTCCCAAACAGTTTTCCCCTCAGCTCCTCCTCTCCCCTCCCTCTCTGCTCCAGCAAGCCCTGCCCACAAACAGACGCTCCTCCTCGTTCGTATCGTTCGAATTAAATTCAGATATAATGCAGATAAATACTTTAGATAATTACAAATGGGGCCCAGTCAACGTCAAAGTAAAAAGCATTGGTACTACTTTAGATGTCAACAGACTACCAGCAAACACAATGTTTGCAGGACTTCTAAAACCAGGATAAAGTGACATACTCCAGGATCCAAGGTTAACAGTTTGGTGGCGCTACAACACACAGCAGGTCCCGTTTGACATGAAACACTTCTGTTACAGACACATGCCTTACTTTGTTAAAGTGGTTTACCTGTCCAGCAGAAAGGTTACAGGGTCCGGAAGATCCCTAAGCGCCCCCTATCATTGTTGACCCGGCTTCTTGGCTCTTGTCCGGGTGGTCTACCTCCGTTTTAAGCGCCTGTTATTCCGCCAGAGTCTCCGGTATTCAGTTTGTTTTCTTGCTTGTGTTGGCAGTCGTGGCTAAAGGAGGATTCAGACAACTTTCTGTACTTTCTGGTTGGTTTCTACTGTCTGATATTGTAGCACGCTAACTTTGTTTGGGCTCCTGAATGACACAGGGGAGCAGCGTCTGCCTCACAACCAATCAGGATGGGGGAGGCAGGGAATTGCTTTGCCAAAAAATGAAAAAACAACATAAATAAAGTTAATAAAGTTAATATTTTTTGCCCACAATAATCGTGAAGTGTAAATCTGATATCGTGACAGCCCTTGTAACAGGTTATATGAGGACCTCTTTGAGAAAGGGCACACGCACGTGTGTGTGTGTGTGTGTGTGTGTGTGTGTGTGTGTGTGTGTGTGTGCATACATGTCTTTAAGTGTGTAGTTGGAAAAAAAACATGCACATAGATTAAAGCTCCTGTCAGGGTTTTTTTTGATGTTTATGAAATAGACTGAAATTTATTCAGATGCACATACATTTTTGTTATGTCCTGGACTGTTTCCTGTGTGAAGTGGTGTTTTATCTTCTATTTACAGAGATTGGATGACTCCCCCCCCCTGCAATGGCTCTCCCTGCGCCTTCACACCTACACCGAATTACTGCAATCACAAGCTACCCTGCAGCTCTGCTCTCATGCCTCTTCAGTGCCAGATTATCCTGCATCTTATGTGCAGGACATCAGCCAACTCTGCAGGAGTTATCTGGTGTTTGCTCCCTGTTCAACATTGCCTGTTGTTTTCTGCTTCTTACAGGTGCCTTTTCTGTTTTTTTCCAGTGTGTCCACAAGCCCCAGTGCAATCCACCCAATCTCTGCCACTCTCTGAAAACCTTTCACCTGCTTCAGCCACAAACCCTGAACACTCCTTCGATTCACTCCTCACCCCTCGGATCCCTGGACCACTTCCCTCAACCATCCCCCATTACAGTTTTTCTCAGTCGCTTTGGTACATTTCTCAGATCAGAATTGAAATTCTCTAAAAAAAAAAAAAACTACGTGTTCAATCTTCACATCATTGTGCCACTTGTGCACATCAAAAAAGCAGTTTCTCATTTCTTTGAACAACTTGCAAATGCTTTGGTACATCCATGCAAATGATTGTGTACAATTTTCTGCTGTTTTCTACATTATCAATTGCTTATGTCATGTTGATCAAAATGTATTACAGTTTTTCTCAGTTGCTTTGGTACATTTCTCAGATCAGAATTGAAATTCTCAAAACTACGTGTTCAATCTTCACATCACTGTGCCACTTGTGCACATCAGAAAAGCAGTTTCTCATTTCTTTGAACAACTTGCAAATGCTTTGGTACAGCCATGCAAATGATTATGTACAATTTTCTGCTGTTTTCTACATTATCAATTGCTTATGTCATGTTGATCAAAATGTACTATAATGGGTCTCTGTTGAATAGTCTCACCCCCCACAACATTTAGGCATTAGTTCATCGCACAAGTCTTTACATGCAAAATGGTTGAACACGCTGTCATAATATGTCAAGCATATTTCTATACATTTCCATTAGACGTTTCTGAATCTGTCCTGAATTGGTAAATTGCTCCCAGGTGAATCTTGACTTTCTCTAACGGTGGGAAATGTGTGAAGCATTAGATCAACCAATGATCAACCACTTTTCTGAAACAGCTCAAAGGTGCATCTCATGAACCATCAACTGGCAAGTATATATTGCCAGGGCACAACACAATGTTACAATGTCTGACAATGGAAGGACAAGGAAATGGACAGGGTCAACAGCCAGAGAGAAGAAGAGGAAGAGGAGTGAGGCTGCGTGGCGGAGGAGTTGGGAGGCAAAACAGAGGAAGAGGCAGAAGAGGCAGAGGACAAATGCACGTTCCTGATGAGATAAGAGCTACACTTGTAGACCACGTTCTCAATCATGGGCTTACAATGGCTGAGGCTGGCCGAAGGGTGCAGCCAAATGTTGGGAGAACAACTGTGTCCTCAATCATTCAGACTTTTCGTTGACAGAACAGGTTTGTAATCTAACAATAGGCACTGTACTGTAATACTGTATACTTTCTGTAATGCTTCATACAATATTGCAGTATTCGACTTTCATTTTACAATATACAGTAAGTATAGTATATACAGTGACATTTTGGATGAGTGACATTTTTTGGATAAGAATTTGTTGCCCAACAGACAGGAACATCAGGAGGTGTAGGAAGACTGTACTGTAATTCCTACAGCACTGCATTTCCAGTTTTCCCTAAGGAAATTGTCCTATGTTCACATTTCTACTTTTGTTTTTTTGTTTTTTTTATTGTGCTCTGCAGTGCTGTCTTTTTCTTTTCTGTATCGCAATGACATGGTCTGTCATCAAATTACAGTCTCTTGCAATCAATGCAATCAATCTCCCACATACACTGAGGTGTAACTTACAATTTACAATGATTGTCATCAAAACTTTAGCCATAGTTTACATCAGAACATCCCTCCAGAGTACACTGTTATATTGACAACATGACTAAGCAATTTGACTGTCTTATCCGTACACAATGACACAAGGACTTGTCATTCTGATGGCACTGACATGTTCATTGACACAGATATTTACTTTTGAGAGATGTACTAAGGATTTTGAGCAAGAGACTGGCTTTTGCAGCTAATCCATGGTGTTTTGCTGTTTGTACAAATTGTTTTGAGAAAAGAACTAACTGTTTTGCAAATGTCGAGGATGATTCGAGAAATGTACCAAAGCGACTGAGAAAAACTGTAAAATGGGTCTCTGTTGAATAGTCTCACCCCCCTCAACATTTAGGCATTAGTTCAGTTCATAAGTCTGTACATGCAAAATGGTTGAACAAGCTGTCATAATATGTCAAGCATATTTCTATACATGTCCATTAGATGTTCCTGAATCTGTCCTGAATTGGTAAATTGCTCCCAGGTGAATCTTGACTTTCTCTAACGGTGGGAAATGTGTGAAGTATTAGATCAACCAATGATCAACCACTTTTCTGAAATAGCTCAAAGGTGCATCTCATGAACCATCAACTGGCAAGTATATATATTGCCGGAGCACAACACAATGTTACAATGTCTGACAATGGAAGGACAAGGAATTGGACGGGGTCAACAGCCAGAGAGAAGAAGAGGAAGAGGAGTGAGGCTGCGTGGCGGAGGATATGGGAGGCAAAACAGAGGAAGAGGCAGAGGACATATGCGCGTTCCTGATGAGATAAGAGCTACACTTGTAGACCAAGTTCTCAATCATGGGCTTACAATGGCTGAGGCTGGCCGAAGGGTGCAGCCAAATGTTGGGAGAACAACTGTGTCCTCAATCATTCAGACTTTTCGTTGACAGAACAGGTATGTAATCTAACAATAGGCACTGTAATGTAATACTGTATACTTTCTGTGATGCTTTATACAATATTGCAGTATTCGACTTTCACTTTACAATATACAGTAAGTATACTATATACAGTGACATTGTAGGTGTAGGAAGACTGTACTGTAATTCCTACAGCACTGCATTTCCAGTTTTCCCTAAGGAAATTGTCCTACGTTCACATTTCTACTATTGTTTTTTTTTGTTTTTTTTATTGTGCTCTGCAGTGCTGTCTTTTTCTTTTCTGTATCGCAATGACATGGTCTGTCATCAAATTACAGTCTCTTGCAATCAATCTCCCACATACACTGAGGTGTAACTTCCAATTTACAATGACTGTCATCAAAACTTTAGCCATAGTTTACATCAGAACATCCCTCCAGAGTACACTGTTATACTGACAACATGACTAAGCAATTTGACTGTCTTATCCGTACACAATGACACAAGGACTTGTCATTCTGATGGCACTGACATGTTCATTGACACAGATATTTACTTTTGAGAGATGTACTAAGGATTTTGAGCAAGAGACTGGCTTTTGCAGCTAATCCATGGTGTTTTGCTATTTGTACAAATTGTTTTGAGAAAAGGACTTACTGTTTTGTAAATGTCGAGGATGATTCGAGAAATGTACCAAAGCGACTGAGAAAAACTGTAATAAATTTTATTGAATGCTTCACCTGCCTCTGCTTTTGGTTTCAGATTAAAACAACTGCTATCAGACCGCAACATGCATCATACAGAAAGGCCAACAAAACCATTACCAACAATGTTAACTGCTTTTATATTGTAAGTATTAATGCCTAAAACCAGTGCAGGAGGGTACATGTCAGCTGAGCAGCTGAAGAAGCATCTTTGTTTGTACAGTTTCCGCAAAAATATTCCCAATTAATGTTCCTTTTCACAGTCAAATTTCAAAAGAATGAGATTTTTTGTATATATATACCTTTTAATTTTCTTGTCTTCAATTATTTCATCAGTCCAGATGCCGATCCAAATATACATACCACACAGAGACCAAGTACTGCTCAACCAGAATTGACCATGCCAGTTCAGATCGTCAGCCAACGATAAGGGTGTTTGTTTATCTGACAGATTTTCATGAACTGGAGGAAGTTTGCCAACCTTTTTATCAGTCAACAGCTTCTCTGAGGGAGGTTTCACTTCAGTCTGACAGGAGCAACCACCCAGATATTTCCCTTCCACCCAGCCACTTATACCTTCAACTGCCACCAACATGGCACAGAGAGTGACACTCTACAAACCGACCAGAGTGCTGCAGATTAGCAAGAACTGCAGCTATCTCTGCTGCCTCTCTGTCTGTGCTGCTGTGATCCCAGGGTTTGGTATCATTTGACAGACAGCCAGTGATCCTAGAGAGGGGGAGAGGACATGTGGATGCTGAGATAACAGTTACTGAGATAGTGCAAAGAGGCTCTAACTCCTGTTGGAATTACATGGGTGCATGCATGTGTATGTGGATTCAATCCAGTTTGTGTGTTTAATCCACAAGAGATTGAGAGAGCTGAAAGTGGAGTCCAGTTTGGTTTATCTCTGATATTGTTTCTGCCACAAGTTCACATGAAAAATATCAGGAGATCATGTATGAATGTTCAGCAGCACAAATGTCGTCTGAGCTGGATTCTGCACCAGTGAACATCAAGAGTTACAGTGCTGTTGTTAAAGTAGGATGTGGATTACAAAGTAGGCTACAGGCTCTAAATATAAAAGTTTACTGTAGAAAATATCGAGTAAACTCTGTTTCACTGTCAATAATGAGGGAAGGCCCACCAATCAGGAGCCTCTGAAAGAGCTGCTGGACAGGACAATCACAACTGTCTTAGCTGTTATATTTCTGCTCTCTAGGCCTCTACTGCTAGCTGTGGGTTATATTTATGTAATTGTACAGGCCCCCGATGTCTTCTCTTATAGTTTATATGTAATCTTGTTGTTCATGGCCATCACATGTGGTGTGAAATAGATAGATAGATAGATAGATAGATAGATAGATAGATAGATAGATAGATAGACTTTATTGATCCCAAACTGGGAAATTCACATGGTACAGCAGCAGAAAAATACAAAATACAGTTAAATATAAAAAAAAGTCAACCTCACCTTTACATACTGTTTAAGATCAATTATGTCTAAAGACATAAATGCCATATATAAATTAAGGGAGCTTTTCCAGTGTGGATCATATTTACATGGCAGGACAAAGTACCTCATGAGTTTCCAGGGGTCTTGTGTAGTCCTCTTTTGTTGTTTGCTTTGACTTCTCTCTTTTGAATGTGACGTGGCTACCTCCCTCATTGTCAGGAGTAAAATACTGCATGTTTGAAACACAAACAAACAAAGAAAATCATTTTAAACAGTGTATTCACAGATATCTGAAGTGTGTCTTTGCATCTTCCCCCAGACAGATACAGGAGCAGCAGAGGGACCCCTGAACGCCCGTCTGCATCTATCATATTCAGAGCGTGTTTGAGAGATATTGCGGATCATCACTCTGCACAGTCTTGATGGCATTTGGGGCTCCGACCTCACGGCGTCATAGGCAGGTTAACTTCCAGCATCTGTGAGTCCTCCTGGTTCAGTATGATTCAACCCTGCTGTCCTGACAGTCCAGTTTGTTAACATGATCTGCCTGTTGGATCTTAATGAAACTGAGTACACTCACACTATGAGCCCTTACTCTGATATTATTAAGCTGTGTCGACTAGTGTTTTTAGAGTCCTGTAATCACAGAGTCTATGTTTAGATAATAAGTGTTGATTCAGTGAATAACTCTTTTGTATTTTACAGTGTGTCACATGAAGCATACTGGCTGCATGACAGTTTCAATATATTCAGTAATTTCAATGAAAAATGGGTCCTTTATTTATTTATTTAAAACAGGCGGCTGTGGTCTCAGAGACACAAACACACACTGTTTGAGGGTCGGGAGGGGGCAGATACGTCGCATATAACAAGATATTTTTCATATTAGGATTTGTTTTGACTGTTACAGATGTACAGAGTTGGTTTGATCAGGAAACAGCCATGTTTCTATTAAAGTTTTCTGCTTGATTTAGGCATAGACACCAGCCGACCAGAGAGCGGGAGGAAGACAGTTGAATCACCAGAAAGAGAGAGTGGTGTGACAACTCTTTTTCCCAACCAAAGTTAAGTGGAGACTCGAATGAAGAGCTTTTCAAGTGGCTTTATTTACCACATGTCAATTTAGAGGTTAAATTGATAGAAATCTCTTCAGCAGAAAAAAAAACAGATTGAGTTTTTGCAGCTAAAGTGCTTCCACGGTATATAAACGATGACACCCTCAGCTTTTCATTTTTTTCTGTCTGAGGTCTGCTGCTCCTATTAGCAGGTATAAATGGTTTCATTTAACATGTAACATGTAAAATCAACCTGTTCTGGGGCCGCGTCATAACACTTAAAATACATAAAACTAAAACTAACCCAAAACTAACATCATGAGAATGTTTGATGTGATTCTACAACTCTTCATATGTGACTATTATCAAATCATTTATTATGAACCAAGTATTCAATAACATTAATCATAGTGAGTGAGTATCAGATCTGACTGCTTTGGCAGCCAAAAGTTTATGTTGGATCAAGTAATCAGGGATCCTGAAGGTCTCCTCTAAAGGAGCTGCAACAGGAGACCAGTGACTCTCCTCTCTTGGGATGCTCTTTGCTCTTAGTTTTACCTATTTTGAGCAGTTTTTAATTCTGATTCTAATATTGCTTATTCTTACTCTTTCATTGTCTTTTTCTACTCTGCTGATTTTCCCACCAATCAAGTTTTACGCCACATATTCATTCACGTTGTTTGATTTTTCTTTAACATCATCTTAGTTCAAGTTTTGAAACTTTAACTATTTTTGTGCACATAGCAATCCAAGATTAAAGTCTTTCACAGATTTTTCTTTAATTTCTCAAAGTCATTTTTGAAATAGTTTCGACTGGCCATCAAGCTTATTTTTCTTAGTTATCTGCGTGATTTCAAAGTTGCCTCTGAACACCACCCAGCAGGCCCAAAGTCATCCTCTGAATCAGGGTTTTGTTGTGAGACAGAAGAAACTTCAGCTGGTTTTGCCGTCAGGCCTGTGTGCTGTGACTCCTGGCCCATCCTTTGTCTGACTTTGTTTCTCTTCTGAGCCGAACCTCTCAAACCGCCAGTAGCCTGGACCTTTGGTGAACCTGCTCTATCTTCTCCAAGGACCATACCATACCAGTCTCACTTAAGTATGCAAACCTCCAGAGCTCCAAACAGGGCTGATGCTGTCTCATGGATTCATGATTCAAACAATCACTTATTTGTGTACTCCTTAAATTCATCCAAATCCACATCTAAATTTATCTCTACACCAAAGTTAATGTAGGTTAATATGTTAGAGCATGTTCACTTACTATCATTAATGTTAAAAGTCATAGCCTGACTCAAAATCTTTTATTCATCTATCATGACTTATCCCTCTTAGCTTATCATCCTTTACCACATTTAGGTTGTACTTCTTTCTATCCTGAAATAAACAGATCTTTAAAAAAAATAAAATAAAAAAAATAAGTTCTTCTCTGTTAGAGTTTTTGCAGAGGTGGAGTCCCTGACATGAGAATTCCAGCTTGAGATATGAGATTGATTTAAATTGATTTAAGATTAATCTTTGATTTCTGAATGAAACTTGTTTTTCTTTAAGTGGTGGTGCCCCTATCAGCGAGTGCATAAATGTCATAATGTAAGATGATTATCAATAATTAATCTTCAGATGTTTATGATAAATTCAAATCACTACAACAGTTCCCAGACACAGCTCCCCCTGCAGCTCATTAGGTGTTCAGTTCTGCAGACTTCAAGAATATACCAAAACCAGTAATTGACAGTGTAAGGAAGACCACCCTGTTACCCTCACACAGCTGTCTTGGGGTGTTCAAACATGTCTTCTAGTTCCATGCTAATGCGGGATGGAGACAGGATGGGGCGCTGCTACCATTGTTAGCAGCTCAGCACAGATTGAGTGAAAATATAGGGAGGAAGGCCTGAAGTGTAGAAAAGCCAAGGCATCAGGGAGAGATGTTAAGTGTAAGAAAGGCTTAAACTCATTGTCTCGCTCCCATTGGAGATTTTGGGGTTAGGACTGAGTGGACCGTGTCCAATCCACACTGTGATGGACTGCAGCAGCAGAATTTCAATTGTGCCCAATTTCCATTTCCGTCCCTTCATTCTTCACTCTCACCCCCTAACAATGTGTCTACCTTCTCCTCTTTCTCCCACTGCTTTTTTCTTTCTCTTGCTTATTTTGTACCTCCATGCTATTTTCATGTCCATCTATCACTCTTTTCTTCCTCCCTCCAGGTCTTTTGCACGTCGGACTATGTAAGAATGAAATTATGCTGGCATTACATAGGATTACCAAATCAGACCATTTCCCAACCCTGCCATTGCCACTCAATTTTATAAAAAAACTAACACCCAAAAAATGTCGAATGTCCTCTTCTGACATCTTATTCTCCTTTATTGTCTGA